ATATATAAGACGATTCTACCGAAGCATGTCGAATTATTTGTTCATTTGCCCATGATACCATTGCATGTATGCTGCAAATTTAATGTAGGTTGGATTAATTTGGATGGACTTGATCTGAATCTCAAAAGACTTGTGTTATACAGATGGGCTTAGTGGTGCAGTAGGTAACTTTGTTCTACGGAACGACCATCGTTCCTGACCTGGTTTATACGAAGATAAGCGTGGCGTTATGGGGGCTTATAGGCCAGTGTCCATATTTAAACTGTATACTACCTGTGGAAGCATTACTCAGCCTTTTGAAGATATGGCTGCAAAGTCTTCAGAATGAGTTTTCTCACTCGCTTTCGATGTGCTTTCCCAATTGTTCCAGGTACCGGTGAATCCGGGAAGAGTACATTCGTCAAACAGATGAGAATTATTCACGGATCTGGTTACACAGATGACGACAAACGCGCTTTCATCGGTCTCATCTATCAAAACATTTTTATCGCTATGCACACAATGTTGGACGCAATCGAAAAGCTAGGCATAGCCTATTCGAACCCAGATAACCAGGTGAGTGAAGATAAACAGTCAGCGGTTCGGTTTGCTTTCAGCTTTATCCGATTTGAAGGCAGTTTGATTCTACAGGCAACTTTTGCATTCCAAATACAACACAACACCTCAGCACGCAACATATTTCTGGGTCTGCTTTTGTGTAAATCCTATTTTGGGTTTGTCCTGTGCACTATTTACTGTACTACGCTGATCGAAATTCAGTTAACTACAGCTGGCTCGCTCTTCAAAATAGTTTTTACTCGATGCAGTGAACATTATCGTTGACAATATTTGATAAATATTCTTCACATCCGGACGAGTTTGTCTCGGAACGTCGGTTTTACACATCCTCTCCGTTATCAGCGGACGCGGGTCCTAAAAATAAAACGGATAATTAGGGAAAACATGTTTTTATACCGGGTTAACGTAATCGTTGAACTGCATGCTCAGTTGAAGCACATCACAAATGATCTGTTCATCCGAACCTCTTTGAATTCCCTGTCCACATTAGTATTTGTGAAATTAAGCAACCTATTAAATGTCGGTGACTTCCTGAATTACTGCGAACGTGTTCCATTTACTGGACAAAAAATATACTTTTTATCAACAAAGGTAAATTTATACAGCTGAAATCGGCTGACTTTTAAGCTGACCGGTGATCTGTGGTTCCAGTGAACCTTTTTGGGTAGACGCACTAGAGGTATCGGGCGAGGAATACACTTACCGCCAACTGAAATTGAGTTTGATTACATTCTGACACCCAGCCAGATGGCGCAATCAAGCACTTATTTACACGTTAGGACATCTATGTGAGGGAATTACATTTCACCCATTCGAGTAAAATGACAGAGACCAACGACCATTCCGAAAGTCATATTTTTCTTTCTTTGATGTTCACGAACTGCCGACTGAATGCATAGCTGGTAGTAAAACAACCTTGAAGGGCCCGCCTAACCCGTTCCTCAGTTCGCTATGCAAAAAGTGGCTCACTATGCCCCAATCACTGGCAAATTCCACTTCTTTCCTAACGGCTCCCCATCGTTCTCTTCAGACGTCTGTAGTTTGGACTTAATTGCAGCCACAAATATGATTGAAACTTAGGGATTACTCGAAAGGTATTTTGCGAGTTATCTATTGGATATTCCATGTTGCATTCTGGGAGATATTTTGCTTGTTAGATAACATCCCGCAGTACACATTTCTGGAATTGCTGGAGCCCTTTTTATAAGATTCACTGGTCTTAGAGTAGTGTATTGAAAACTTTTAGCGGAGTATGAAAAATTTCGAGTAGAGATAATTCGTTTGGATTAAAGAAAGTGACGACAGAGCAACCAAAGCAAGAATATTTATATGAGATTTTCCGGAATTTAGCTCTTATGCAACTCAGGTGTTTGTTTCGCCGTGATCTTAAAGTTGCTACTTCAGAAGTGCAGATTTCCGTCACTATTACTTAATTTCTGTGCTCAATACAGCCAAAATCAGCGTTGTAATAACTAGACAGTTTGGCGCATACTTGTTCCGAACTGGTTTCCAACTCGATACATTCTACTACTTGTTGCTAGATTTAGTTTCCTAAGGTCTCCTTCGTTCCTCCTGGTCGATACAGGTCAGCTGTTTCCACCACTGACTGACATCGATTAGATTTGAATAGAACGATTGTAACATGTTTCCAGTTTGAATTTGGTTAGCTTATGGTAACCACTGGCGAGCTTCACTGTAAGCAAATAAGTACGCACCAGAATTCTGTTCTCAAGAAAGTTGTCGGAGAAATCGCCTATTGACGTGGTTCTGATGAGTTCATATAAACAGTGATAGATTCACCGTTTACCCTTCTGAGTTCATTATGCGCATTTGAGCGCTCACCATACTAGCCTCGTTCAACCATTCGCGAATTGGGTGTGTTGCTTAAGGTTGTATTCTTCCACTATGTTGAATTCGTCTACTCTAGATCCCCGCTCAAAAATTGACGATATGGTCCCAGTCATTTAGAATGCAACATCGGAGATAGATGGTAATAATGCTGTGATGAGAGCACCACTATTGGACCAAACGAACGTCTTTTTGGCAGCATGGACATTTGAGGAGTATGAAATTCACCCTCTGCAGAAGAACCATGTTATGGTGGGCCCTCACCAAACGAAAGGTCCTAGATGACGGCTCAGTTGCGGGTAGATTTGTTCGGCCGTTACACGGTTCGCACACCATTCGTCCGCGTGCCCTATATGACCCCTTCAAAAAGGGATCTTATCTAACCTCGTCGACCAGTGTAGTTTTGGACAGCATTCCGGATAGCGGTCCAAAGTACACCGATTGCGTGCTTCAGTCAGTCTAGCTGATCTAAGATGTTGTGGGCGTTCTTTGTTGGCTAGAAATGCACGCATAACAGTAGTGCGACCCAAAAGTTTAAGAATGGCGTTCTGTTCCACAAGTGGCTAAGCTAAGTCAACTTCAAAGGTCTTTGGGAATTTTAGAAAATGTATGCTATTCAACCCAGATGCTGTGTGACATAGTGCACGACACATGGAACACATGTACGGAATTTGATCATTCGAATGGATTATACTGAGCAACCGGGGCGAGATGACTCGGTGGTTAGAGCGCGAATTTGCTGACCGGAAGATCCGTGATTCGAAGCCGACCTCTGAATCTCGACCTGAGTAACCTGGTAGTATCCAAGCCCTCGTGATTCCTTTGGATGGCGTGGTGGCTAGGCACTGAAAGGGTACTTCACCTGAATGAGTTCAACTGTCTACTACGAAAGCGCCTCCAACCCTAATGTGCACTCCAGTATTGATTGGTTTATGCGCATTTCTGGTTAGATGCCGTATTTCTCACACTAAAGGCAGTTCATGGACACGTTCGCGTTTTCTGTGCATTCCGCGGGCACATGCGTATTCACCTTACGTTTCTTCCGCGTTTTGTCCTCTTTCTGCCACAAGCAATCCCTTTTTCGCATTCAAGACGCGCTGAGTTTATCTGTCTCACGAGCGTTCAACGTGAATGTGCTGAACCTTGTGTTCGTTTCCGAGGTATTTCATCCAGTAACCTATGGCTTAAACTACAAATTTTCTCACAGTGCTATAGTGTCCCCGCATCTATGTATATAGATTGAAGAGGTGTTACGTTTACCCATAATCCTATCTAATATGTTTACTTGACGTGCGATGATGTGCTCACCTTTATTCATTGAATCTGAGGTTTCCTTCGGTCACCGATAAGGTTACACACATTTCATGACTGTGAAATTCTTGCTATGCTTGAAAGCTTGCTCATTCACTTGGAATATCGGACAGCAAGAGAACGTCATTGTTTCCTAAACTCTTTCCCTTGAGCTACCACCTAAATTGATTGCGCTTTACTGTGTTTTTGTCTTGAAATTTAACAAAAACAGTCTTTGAAATCACAACGCACTTTGAAACGTGTTTTGGAGTCCTTGCAATAGGGTATACATCCTTCCCAAGTATTGCAAATTACAAAAAGAATAATGCACCCATATTGGGAGGGTAAATGCGGTTGCTAACCGATTATAGTGTATGGTAGTGGATGTAAAGTTTCCGGCCCTCCTGTGATAAAGACCTTTTACATATGAAGAAACCATCCGACTTTTATCAAGGAAGTTGGCCTCCTTCACTTTGTCAGGTCTAATTTTTGAACAAAGACATTGACAGCGAAGATTATGGGGTTACAGAGCTTCCTCTCATCATCATCAAGGTTCCTGAGGGATAGTCATCGCTCCTCAGGCCAATTCAGGTGTTCATTCATCCCGGTTTTTAAGCTTAGGCTGAGTACTTTTTCTCAATGCACCCGGAATGGCCGACCACAACACGTTGGCAGACCCATCTAGAATGGAAGAATCATGAATGTTAATGCAGCTGGAATACATAAAAATTAAGATGTAGTGTAGATCTTTGAAGAACACCAGAGTCAGTCGGCAGAGTGGATGTTCGGTCACTTAGACCCGTAAACTGTAGCTGTCGGTGGAACAGTTCTGGATCTGTCCATTTCTGCCTTATGGAGAATTCGGTACTGCCATATAAGTCTGTATAATCCGCAAATGACACTCGTATAGTCTTGTTATTTCTGTCGAGGTGATCAATAAAATGGTGGTAGTGTGGAACGGTTTCCAGCGTAAAATATGGTTTTCAGTGGGCCAACTGGCATTATTAGGCCCAGTAGTTTTCATTCCACCTTGGAATTTTCTTTCAATTCGTTTTAAGGAAGTTTTTGTGCAAGCTAAGTTTCGGAACTATGTGACTCCTTTGTAAAATGTAAACCTTGACTGAACAGGTTGGTGGCTGATTCCGTGCGGACATCAGTTTTATTCCCTGAGTAGCAAAGGTGAAAGAACATCTGGTCCCATAGTCCTTGCTTAATCTGCACAAATTTTTGTGGTTCACTATATTTACCATATTGTTGCCCTCTCGGTGTATAGCAAATGCAGTCTATGGGTTGAAGCTCCAAAAACGTCGAGAGTAAACGCCTAGGGTCATTGGTTTCTGGCAAACGATTCAAAACGTTACTACACAACTGCTCCAGCCGTACGTTGCACTTGTAAGTTCATAGGACACAAGTGGTGCACTAGGGTGTATGAAAATTATAGTAATATCATTCACCAAAATGTGCTCTAACTAACTACAAACCCTGTGAAGAAGCTAACAATATCGAAAATACCAAGGGATATAAGAAGACCGGAAAGTACACAAATGAGGTGATCAAGTAATCAAAAATGTCCGAGGAAGACGATATTTCGCAAATGGGAATACCGGCTGAGAAGTGTAGGTTTACGAAGAGAATGAACTGATGGCCATTCAGCAGTCCGGGGCTGCATTTGCACTCTGAGAATTTGAAGATAAATCACAAAATGGGGGAGAACAAAGGTCACTGGCTTTGAGTGAATGATCACTTGGTCAACTCTATTGCGATAGCTAATGGGACGAACTACTGGGTGTAGATCACAAAACGCTCATCTTCATGACTTAATTTTCGATGTTGAGCAGAGTTACAATCATTGTCCAGTGTGGTGCAACAGTTCATCAAAATTACCCATCTTTTCCAGTACTGGACTGACCGTACTGTAGATCATTGAGTGATCATTGAGCTGTTAAAAAGTTTTGCCCGATATTTGCGGTCCATTGGTGTGATATTCTCACTCGCACCCACACTGGTCAAGAATGACACCTTTGCAACGGCGTCTGACGTTGCAACTGAATTTTGCTGACAAGGGGGTGACCCAAGAAGCCAAGTCTCTAGGTCATCATCAGGAGCGTGAAAACAAGTGTTTGCGCACAAAGTTTTAAAAGAGAACAACTAACTTCGAATGCTGGCATTGTTGCTGACTACTCATTAAGCAACGATCGGTAGTCATGTATTTGTCTCGGTAACAAAACATGTTGTCGTGAGCAGTCTGTGGATTGCGCACGCGTGTGGGTTGTATACTTACACGCCAACTGCGTTCCCGTCAGTGTGAACCTAGTCAGTTCAGCCTTCAAACATTCCCGAATCTAATCTCTTATGGCTATCAATCATGCCTAATTACAGAGCTACTTCTCATCATCAGCATCATCACTATCTTCTTCTGCCTCCTCAGCTGTAAAAACTACATACATGTTGTAGAACGGTTATTGCTGCCACAATCCTATTCGCTAGTGACAGAGAGAGGCATCACTGTTAGAAACTGATGTTATGCTGTCGATGATGATGGCGATGATGATGAGACAGGGATCGACAGGTACACACTGTAGGCGGTGCCTGATATAACTGATTTGTGAATCAAGAAGCGATAGTGTGGTTTTAATAGGGATTATCGACAGTGTACCATAGGAGAGTATTAATCTTTTTTGTGAAAATAAATCCGTGTTTGAAAATGACCAAGGCGTCTGAAGTGTGATTAGACCTGGGTTTTTACAGGCCATAGTCTTGTCAAGCTGCTATGATATTGATATCCTGGATGGGTCCCCGGTGTCAACGGCTGTAACAAACAGTTTTGATCCAACAAGTAGCAAAAACACATGTGGAGGCGGCAAAGCTCTAATCTATACGAGAATCAATGATTAAGTAATTAATAGGGCATGTCAGGTTCTGGAAACGAACAAAACTATCACCTGATTGCGAAGTGACGCTTTACGCTACATTCTGTTGGTCAGATGGGGAAAACTGCTGGTGAGGTAAAATGTACGGCTGTGTGATATGTCATTCTCTTGTTTGATGTGTTGCTTGTGTCGTAATTTTCGAGTACAAAACTGGATCGGTCACAAAGTTTTGTCGTCGAGCCGATTGCCGACTTGATACCGATGTGGAAACTGACGCTTGAACTGTTGATGTATTTAGCGGCGGGGCAAATATGTCAAATAAATTATCTAGGAGAAATGATCTGCCTATAAGATATATTGCGCAGTTGAATAGACTGGGTGCAGCCGAAAACTGTCTGACTGTCTAACTGTGTAGTCCAGATTCAACTTCGTAAAAGACTAGACTTCGGCGTTGTAAGATGCATCGATATGATTTGTCGATTCAACTCGGGAGTTCGCCTGACTGGCGTTATCGGCCTGTGCTTTACCTCCTGTTGGAGAACCAACTTTACACATTTAGCAATCATGACGACGGATGACACTGTAATTCTGAGCTGATAGATAAATTATGTCCTGGTTATTTAACAAATGTTGGGTGCACACTTTGAAGCAATGGTGTTGCTTGTTAATTACAAACTGTTACAGCAACTGGAGCATAGAGATTAGACAATGAAACGGCGACTCCGCACAAAAGCAACTGGAAAACGAAAGAGCAACTGGAAACAGGCGACGGTCAGTCAGTTGAACACCCTTGAATAGCACTTTGATCAAATACAGATATAGTGTTAGAGGGATACCGCTGGTGTGACGAAGCCCACTTGCAAAGTCATGTCGTTTCAATAAACAAGAAACAGAGACTTAGTTGCTTAGTATAATCACTGATATCAGCAGTGCTCCAATTTTCAAAAATGGGTGACAAGTACATACTGAATTCGGTCTATATCCTTAGAAATTTCTGTGCTAAAGTTACTATTAATCAAAACTACGTATCACGTAATGTTGTCCCACAATGTCAAACATCACCTCTCTAGTTATCTGTAGCCTACACCCTGGAACACGTATTCCACCCGCCAAAGATTATTGTTACCAGTTGCCAAGCAAAACCTAAGTTTTGGCAATCGCCGCTTCAAGAACGAGAAGTCAAGTGTAGCTCCATCTACGTCTTTATTGAGGTTTATACTGATAAATCCTTTGTTTTTCGCCAAAGTTATCATGAGTATTTCTACAACTTTCACATTCTACTTAGGCAAACGTCGAACTTATTCGTGAGGTTGACGCTGAATCCGTTACTCAGTTGGAGCCCGATAAAGTGGTCGCGATTAGTCAGCTTTGGGCTGATCCAGGAATGAAGGAGTGCTACGAACGTCGGCGTGAGTTTCAGCTGACGGATTCGTCGAAGTAGTAAGCGATCCCACCAACTAGCATTTTGATGATATATATATGCTACATTTTGTGATGAATAGGCATTTTTGTTTAACATAACCTGCGTCAGAGCAGAAGAACCCACAAGTAACTTGTCCTTGACAGTGTGACCAATCTATGTCCGACAAGTAGTTACTACCACCTCCACATACATTCCAGGTGTATTCTTGAATATAGAAATGATTTGTTGATAGTGAGAACTTTGGTTGGTAGTACTGATTAGGTGCTTGAATTTTTCAACAACAGAAAACTGAACAGTGGCTTCCTGATTGTTAGAGCTATTTGGCATCGCGCCAATCATGAACTCTACAAGCGTTTGGGATTGGGAACCAGAATTTAAAATACTCAATCTTCACACTACGTTCGTTACCTTGACGCCTCCAGGTTCTTGCGCCAGCTCATGTAGTTGGACGTGGCGAAATCAGGACGGAACAAACTCTCATCAGCTACTTCGCTAAATATGAACTTTCTTTCAGCTTCTCAGATGAATACATGTACGATCACATGACTACAACAAAGTATCTGGATAATGAAGAGTCACCGCGTACTAAGTGATCCAGTGCGTGGATGCCATGTGTAGAAACTTCATTAGTGTATAATTGAAGTTGTTTGTATGGAATGACAATCGTTAGGGGCCAGTTACCAGATTTTCCGTACCAGTAATCCAAAATGAGCTTCATCATAAAACAAGCAGAATGGTGGAAACTATTCACAAGTTTGCTGAAAACTCTTCGACAGCTCATGACCGGTTTCGCCCTTTTCGGTGCTCATCAGTTAGGCACAGTCCCGGAGTTTCCTTATGTTCCACTTGAACCCAAATTGGACTTTTTTGAGAACTACACTCATTTGCAAATCAATTTGGTTTTCACGAGAGACTAAACTGAATCTTTCGTTAATGATATTCTACAACTGAATGTGCTGCACACAGGCCGCCTCATGTTTCTTTTGGTACGATATTCAAGATATCGCAGTATATTTTCATAAAGGAAACTACTCACAAGGCAGGACATTCAGTTGTAGAATATCATAAACGAGAGATTCATTTGGGTCTCTCGTGAAAACCAAACTAATTTGCAAATGGGTGTACTTCTCGAAAGCTATATAGCGTTTTATCCTATTTGCCAAATACGTCACCGAATTTGGGAAGGCGAATAGAACAAGCCTGAATTTGTGTGGTTGGTGAGTAAAGCAATGTATTACTGTTTCAGCTATCTTGACAACTTCGAGCGGATTGCCGATCCAGCATTTCTCCCAAACCTCCAAGATATCCTGCGAGTTCGAGTTCCGACAACAGGAATAATCGAATACCCCTTCAATTTGGACTCAACGGTCTTTAGGTAAGTGTGCTTTGAAGTTTGCTTCCGGGCAAACAATTCGTCAGTGCTACAAACAATGTCTACCGCTGAGTACTATAAGATACTTTTTACGGTTTCCAGTTTTCAGAAAACCAGGATGTTTCATATCAGTGTTTGGTTTGCGACCAGTCTAAATAGAATCCAATCGATCCTGATTTCACGGCAACAGTTTTCTCCACCATTTCCTAGCGTTCTGTTTGTTCGGATTTGTTTAGATTCTTTTCAGATACCATGAATCGGTTGAGACTGCCATGCTCTAAGACACCGTTGCCACTGATTGACAGAGCAATGCCCTGCGAGCCACTCGGAGGGTCTCGAATTAGCAATGTAGGATAGTGGTTTATATATATTACGTTGACGTTGTACCCATTCTACCTTTACTGTTTAGCGGAAAACTCAACTTTCATGCTGATAAATAGTTGAAGTCTCCATTATCCGCTTGTAACAAGCCTTGTTGTTCTCAGATTTCGGGACAGAAAATGGTGGGTTCCTTCTATGCGTTTGCCAAATTAGATGAGGCGAAATGCTTCTGGAATCCATTTTGCTGGTCACATCCATTTATCACTCCTGTGATATTGTGTTATTGCGCGAGCGCATTGTGCAAACTATGGGGGCTGAATAATCAATAAACGATACCGACGCGCTTGTAATTACCCATGAAACGCAAGTAATTGTCGACTTGGACAGCAGAACCCCTCCATATCACTCAGTGCTTTGATACGTAGCGCAACTTCTCGGTAAACAAAATACAAGCTAGCAGTTTCTAAATTCGTGGATATAACCGACCTAGAAAAGTTTGCGAAATGGTGTACATTCTTGTCTGTCATACCTAACATTTGAATGTGCCTTTAGAACTGAAATTTGTGCAATCATTTAGGTCGAATTTTCACTCCAAAGCTTCAACAAAATGGTATGTCACGCAAGCGCCTAGTGTTTTGCACTACATCTGTTCATCCCTACTAACATCTCACCTTAGGAACGGGCACAAGCCTGTCTTGATTAATCACACTCCAACTAACAGACACAAGCTCGTTCGTGGACTTTCAGGGTATCAGCCATGATATGCGATACCTTAGAACTAGCGCTCAAGCACAGGTAAATAGCTGCCAGACATCCAAAGCACACCTGAATTGCAAGGTATTCAAATGCCAAAGGGATGGCTCTTGTAGTCGAATGCTTCTGCCGTTGTGACTGCTCGCCTGTGAGTGATATGGTGGAACTGGATGGATCATTGTGAACTGTATAGCCGGATTAATCTGGTGCTTAGTTTTACCCAGTGATCGTACATGTTACGGGGTTTGTTTTATCACAATGTCTGCTGAGCAATCTTCGCGGATGGGACATTCGTAAGTTGCGGTAGTTTGCAGAACAAACATGGTTTTCAACTCATCTTTGGTCTGTGAAGCACATTTCTTCTTCGAATGTTGGCTTCGCTAATCATTAGGTTGCATCACAGTTATTCTTTTCGAAACTGTCAAGTAAGCTGTTTTGACTTCCAAATGTAAGATGGCTGAGTATTCTTTAAAAGTTACTGTGTTTCCAACAGTTGACTTATGGATCTCCACCTATCTTTGTCCTTTAGGATTGTTGACGTGGGTGGCCAGCGATCCGAACGGCGAAAGTGGATACACAGCTTTGAGAATGTGACTTCCATAATTTTTCTAGTCGCTCTGAACGAATATGACCAAGTACTGGTAGAAAACAATAACGAAGTATGTTACTGTTACTCTGTTACTTCAATTTTGAACCACAGAAGTCCTAACTGTCGCCCATATGGTTGAGACTTCACCAACTAGTTCGTCCTTGCTCGAAATAGGACTAATTTCGTGCAAACTGGGTTCTCATAGCAAAGAGAGTTAAAGGAGTCTCGGTGACTATGCCAATTTGGTGAGTCCCCAGAAAGGCGAAGCCGATAGTGAGCTATCGAAGAGTTTTCAGTGATTAGTTTCCTTCTTGTTGATCGGTATTCACTCCAATGTGTGGGGTCATAGTCGTACAGAATCGTAGATCACACTGGACCTCTTCCAGTGACAACTCTCCGGTTAATCGCTGTCTTTTTTTTGCATAGTAGGTCGGTCAGAAAACAGTCTTCTATCCAGATAACGATGCGGATTTTTAAAATAATCACAGGTAATCTGGTAGGTATTCAGGCTAGTTTGTGCACAGTTCAATGGGGTGTATTGGGTCGCATGACAAGCTACACGCTCATGGTAGGCGACTCTTGATCACGAGTAGAACTGTGTTCTCGTGTGTAGAGATGCGAGGTCTACTGGAATCGTTTTTAACCAGACCGGTTGTTTTTATCAGTTTGCACCTTCCACCTCATGATTAGGTGCCTCACATGTTAATTACATTGGCTTGTTGTAACTGAGGACCTCTCCTCAGAATAGAAGTAATAAACCAGATATAACATAATATAAGCCAATATCTAGGGCCTTCTTAATCTTCTTAGCTCTCTCACCCACGCAATAGGACCTTTAAACTATCACTTTGGTATCAGTGTGTACGTATTCCACGGTGAACCGTCGAGGTGTGGATACTGCATCCGTTCGTAAGTCCTAGCAAATTGTAACTGTCACACTTTTATCCTGGATTGTTTAGGTATTTGTTGCATTTTTATTGCAATTTCTCGTTTAACATATTTAACCGACTTCAGGTCCTAACTTTGCTTCATAGATGTGCCATTATCCCTTTTCAAGAGAGTGACGTCGATGGAGGGGATTTACCAACAGTGGGGTTTAATTTGTTACTCCAAATTTGTGGCAGAGAATGACAGAAACCCTACATGAAAAGCACAGATAATTCACCGAATGCGTAATACAGAGCAGAGAGTTTTCCAGAAATTTTCCCAACAACGGCTGCTCAAACCCCCGGTTTATTGTGCTTCATCCAGTGCATGATGAAACCAGGTTTCCGCTGGATCATTGAACTGTCCAATGAACAGTCCACATGCTCGCTTTTTGCCATTTCGAGATAGCGAACCAGGTTCGCCATCGATGAGAATGTTGGTAGCTCACTGCTACCATTCCGTTCACTGAGGTGGGCGTTTTGGCTGTCTCTATTTGAGACAGCATCTTCATCGGTTGGTAGATAAACTACAGTCTACTACGCTCAGACGACTGGCGTCGAAGTTGCTCATATCAACAGACATAACAACATCCAGAGAGCCTTTTTTGTAGGTCTATCAAAATTATAGTTGATGCAGTCGAACTCAGGTCCTAGCAAGATACGTTGCTCGACTGTCTCAGACGTACCAGGTCGTATTCGCTGCAACCTTTGAAGGGTTCTCTGTCACGAGCACCAGTAGCATAAATACGAAGTCTCGCTCTTTGAGAGCTTCTGCTTGAACTAGATGTGCACATCTGACGGACCGGATGCCTTTGAAGCAAAATCGATGAAAGTATTAACGAAACACACTCATTTGCAGACTAATTTGGTTTTTCGAGAGAATCACCTGGAACCCAGCTGAATCTCTCGTTTGTGATGTTTCAAGGCCAATGGATGTGCTGCATCAGGCCGTCTTATGTTTTAGTCGCTACGATATTCGAGATATCGCGATGCACGTATATATGTAATGCACTACTCATAAGGTTGCTGAAACCTCGCGGACCTTCCTTGACCGGTTTCGCCCTTCTTGGGGCTTATCACGTAGGCACAGTCCTCAGTGTTTTCACACACCTTATGAATAGTGCAGTACGTCTATATATTTGTGGCGATATCTCAAATATCGTTCCAACCGAAGCATCAGGTTTCACAGAAGGTCGCGTGTTAACGACCGGACTTCGGTTAAGGCATTAGTTCAGACGTAAAATGACCGCCTATGAAGGTTTAGGGAGTGTGATAAAGTAATACCCTAGCTCAGTTCTAGGTCTGAATCTTCCATGTTTTCCGCAGGAGAACCACTGAGAGCACAGAAAGTGTGGTAAACGCTCAAAACCAGGCGGAAGAAGCGTGTGCAGTGCGTTGCATTTAAAGTGCATGCGGCAACTACATTCTAGAAATTTTGAGGCCTTCCGGGTGTGCCACTAGCAAGCGACATTCAGCAGATAGTAAATCCTGACTGGCTGTTGAGTCCACACTTTCGACCAATCAGAGCTCGCCTTGATACCGCCAAACAGCCCTATCTTCTGGCCATTCACGTGTGTGTTAAGCATTTTGGCCGTAGCAAGGCCTAACCGAGAGCGGTAAAGCTGTTTTTGGCGCAAGAATCCGCCTAACAACCAGTCAAATCTGTTGCAACCTTTTCATGTTGTTTTGAGATAAGGATTCGCTTCGGAGCTTGATACACCCAATAATGTTGATCCGAAAGCTAGCTTATTTAAAAAAACACGTCCTACTTTTATTCCCTTGACAGCTTTTGTATCAGTATTTAAATTCCCTGAGGGCTGTTCGCGGGCTAAGGGGGCATTACCGGTGCAAGTGAAGGAGCACACTGATCTTCAGAATTGGTGAGGATGAGGATTTTCACAGCAAACAGGGAAAGTGGAAAGTCCACGCGCTTGAGGCAAAGTTTGCGCAAGTGTCGCTCCGAGAACTCTTCTGTCAAACACCGGACTTTGAACGAGTCAAGCGGAATAGTCATGCTCCTGTTCTGGTTTAATTATTCGTGTGAGTCCACACCAAAGGGAAGCACTCGAGTTTCGCTCTTATTAGAGCTCATCACCAGTGCATATCTAATGGCCGTGCCGGGATTTGAACCCCGGACATTTGCGAGGCTAGGGTGTAACCACTACTCCACCAACACACGTTGGACGCATCTGAATCTTCACGTCTAAACAGGCGAACGCGTTCGCACTTGAGCGATGTGATTGGTGTGCCCGAGTAATCGAACAACGACCCAGTAAATGTCCTGGTTTTGACGATCGATTGGCCCGCTAGTCAAGACTTCCCAGTCAGGTAGCGTGGCACACAATTGAAACCCACTGGACAAATTTTTGATTGCAATTTTGGGGTTTTGCAGAATAGGTATTTTGTTCATCGTCACGCCACTCTCGTTTGAACGGTCGTTCTAATAACAGCGAAACTCGAGTCCAGTGCTTCCTTTTGGTGTGGACTCACCGGAATAACTACGCCAGAACAGGAGCACGACCGTCCAAACGAGAGTGGTGTGACTATGAACAAAATACCTATCCCGCAAAACTTCAGGACTGCATTCAAGCGGAATAGGTGAAGACACTTATAACAGAACTAGTTTGGTCGACCTCTACAGAAAGTTTCATTGAGGATAGATTATCATAGACCAAGGTGACCCATGGATTGTTGCTAACATATTCTCAGTGCTGTGTGGCCCTTATTTAAGCCGACGCGCTGAATTTTTGGAATCAGTTTTGCATGATTAGTATCGAACAGTTCAAGAGTTTTATTAGAGGTCTAGCGTAGCCAACTCGTTGGGAAAACCAAANGTCTATTCCTGCTGGCCATCCTCGTTTTTGTTCAAAGAGTTCAAATGGAATCCCTATCATGTGAGCAGGTTTTTCGAAGGATCCGATTCTAGAAGGTTTGGTTTCCTAGTCGAGCTGGTCAACATATCAACAGTTTGGTAGTTGAGATAACATACTACTCATTTAAGCTACAGTAACGTGGAGAGACTTGGAAACCGCCGTTAGTTTCGGTATATTTGCTTCCTTTCCAAGCTATAAACCGTTTACCACGGCAGAAATTTGTACATCTTCGAAAAACAATGGAATATTATAGCTTGGTATCATATCACGCTTTGTGGTTTTAATGTCAGTGATTCATTTTAGAGCTGTCCAGTTGCAGTAGACCGATCCTTAGCTCGATGAAGGTTGCTATTCAGCTCTATTATTCCACGTATCTCTTCATTTATCCACTGAAGAAAATCCTAGATCTCCTCATTTAGATGCTTTCTTTCGCAGTTAGCCGCAAAGGTCGAATTGTCATCAAAGCCTTTCCGGAAAATTTTCACACCATTTCGCCTAATTTCCGTTGTGTTTTAGAACCGGATGGAAGAAAGCTTGCTACTCTTCCGCACCATCATTAATTACCCGTGCTTCCAAACGGCATCGATCATACTATTTTTGAATAAAAAGGATATTCTGGAGGAGAAAATTCAGTATTCCCATTTGAAAGATTACTTTCCCAAATTCACAGGTGAGCGATCTCCAAATGCACAAAGTGAACATGTGCACTGCGTTGATGACGAACATAATGTATACTTAATTGAATGACAAAATCTGCCGTGCGTCTCCAGAGTGATCAGTCACACCTTTTTGCGCTAGCACTGATTCACACATTGTAATAATTATTTTTGGTTAGTTTTCAGTTAACCTCTATGGTCAACATTTCAGAAGAGCTTGGTAAACAATCGGTAGTTTTTTTTACCAAGCTCTTCTGAAATGATGACTTTTCAATCGGTTCCAAACTTTTTCCATTTGATTGAAAACTCTATGGTCAACGTTCAAACGGAGAGGTTGTTTTTGAACGCTTTCTAGGAAAAAGGGACTGGTGAAAAGCTTCTTCTGGCCGTCAGTATTGTCGCAACGAAAAACTTATTATCACAGTCGAGTTTTTAACTTCTTTTGTGTTTAAAATAAAATAGATTCTTAATAAATTGTCGAACTTCCATACAATTAACACAATCCCACTCCCGATAAAATTTTCTTCAAAGAAGGTGTGCTTTTTCCACTTCAGGACCTGAAAAGGACGCCATTTCTGCGAGAAATTTTGTCCTGAAGATGTACCAAGATCTGAATATCGATGCTGAACGAACCGTATACTCTCATTTTACTTGCGCAACAGGTATGTTCGTGGTCAACTGGGAATCAGCCACTGGATTTGCAATACTGAAGGCTATCATTCGGTGTTGCTGGTCCATTTTGAATTTCTGCCATTTTATTCAGTGTCACCCCTTTTTTAGTTGGTATTTAGTCCTTTGCCTGAAGATGACTTACGACAGAAAGCTCATAGGCCAGATATATCTGTTTTATCATTATTTTTTTAATCACCAGTGGTGAGAATTCGAACTTGTGACCTCCCTGGTAGAAGTTGAAGTTCAAACGAGTCAGCCACGACCGGTTCGTTTAAATCAGTGTGAGTAACTTACTTTTGGACAGGGCATAATTAAATATGAAGAATATGGCAACAGGAGAAGCGCTGCAGAAGAACTGTTGAGAATCCTGACTATTTAAGCAATTTAAAGAGCTTAATTGCCTATCTTCAATGCCCAACTCAAAAAAGTTGCATTTTTGTCGAAAGTGGAATACAAGTTGAGGTCGGTGGAGTAAATGCATTCTTTCGGAGAACGACTCAGGTTTTTCTTTAATATATCTATTATTAGCTTCACTGTATTTTGAATAAAGTTCAGAAATTTATGTAAGCTATTTGTTCGCATTTTCGCTCCAATCCCGTAGATACGGAGAACATTCGCGTGGTGTTTATTGCCGTCAAGGATACTATCCTCCAAGCCAATCTGAAAGAATACAACTTGGTCTAGTTATCAACCTCCTGGACTCCGTTGACGATGCTGTTATCCTTGGTCCATTGAGTGGGCCTACTGTCTACTGCGTAGACTCTTCTGAGTACTTGTGAAACTAACAGCTGTTGTGCGAGTCTAAACATCCATCGTGTTTGAATTAGCTGGCACAATTTTATTTTTAATGAAATGCAACCACCTATGACTCTAGCAGCCACTAGTTATTCAACTGGCTATCAGCGTTGAAATGTCAGACTATGTGAATCAGGCCATAATTTTTTTTCGAAACTAGGGCCACCTTATGCTACAGGTTCCTAATTTCAGTACTTTAATGCAGGTCAGCAAAAGCGTTGTATTTAGACTGAAACAAGAATCGTGGTCAGCCAAAAGCAAACACCAAGAGATAGATGTAGCTAACAGAATAGCATACAGGATTGAGCGTCGCTGAGAAATCTCAAGCATGCGTTACTTTCGCTTGCCTTTCAGTCATCGTATTTTTGCAAACGGGTCCATCACAGCTTCAGATTTCCGATAACGGCATGTCCTATGGACAGGTTGTGATATCCGGTCTCCCTTATAAACAGGAAAACTTTGCGTCAACTCAAAACTCTGAGAAGATAGCAAACAAGGCTGTTAAGCCTTTCAAAGGATCAGAAATTTACACTAGAAAAGTCATTAGGAAGAGGCACTTTGTGTTTCAGTTCTTACATAAGACAACGCAAAAGACCAGTTTCCCGGCTGCACCAAGTTCTCATATCAATCAAGATCGATATGGCGGTAAGAAAGTTCGCTGCAATTTTCTAAGCTGGGCGACTGTCACACCCTGACTTGAACAGTAAGTTGGCCGAGTGCTTCCCTGCTCAGATGCGTGATAAAATTACTGGAACCAAAAAGTCAGTGAAGTCTCTCCTAGTAAGTGGCATTTGGATATTCACCTGAGTAATCTGCAGCAAACAGACGGCCTTCAGTTTCCGTTGTTAAAACGTTCGGTAGAGTTCATTTTGTTTGATCCGTTTTGTCCGCAGGCAGTCCATAGGCAGCTTCGCCCTGCTTTTGGTTCATCAGGCAGGCTTAATCACCAGAGCCGGAGATGATCAATTTGGTCAAATGTGTGCATATGGGATCTACTTGATTATCTTTGTAGAGGAATCTAGAGGGGACCCTAAGGCGTAGATTATGCTGTTAACTGGGACGGACTTCATCAACCCTCAAGTTCTTGTAAGTCCATCATACATGTGAGCTCAGTGGCCAGTTTGTTTGAACATCCCGATCTGATGCTGTAGCTCTGACGTAGTTGTCGGTCTTGAGCGCTGCGACGGTCCCGCGGGCCACACTGGCTGGTACTTTGATCCGCCAGATGCAACCATACCATTGAGGTCAAAGTGTAGCAGTAAGGTCATGATCACTGAGACCCCATACTGCGAGTAATCGTGCTACGAGGCGGTTCGGGTTGTACAGTCCTCTGCGGTAGGAGTATGAAGGCAGTAGTGTGTTTCCCCCAGGCGACCAGCATGTTCATATTCTTGGAAGCAGCGATGCTGCCTCCCCCCGAGGAAGGATAGGGTAGTAAACGTCAACCCTAAAAATTCCACATTCCGGTCGCCCAAGGTTAACCGTGACCGCCAATCATCCAATACGGTGGAAATACTTTTAAAACCAACCAGTCCGATGCTGCTTGAAAGGCATCTGCTGCACGCAACCGCACCGAGAATGAGACAATAATGCCTTATTACCTGCACCCTCGGGTTAGGCCAACTCCCTGCAGCCGAGCAGGTCAGACTATTGAGTCATCGGCTCCGGGCAGAGTCCCACATCCTCCCACTGCCTCGTGGGTCAGACTTTTGAGTCAGAGGCTCACGATGGGGTACCTCAACCAGAATCTTATCCTCGGCCTGGAAAACCGGGAAGTGTTATTCGCCCGCACAGTTGCGTGTCTATCAAAACCCCTCCCTAGTCCCTGCCCAAAACACAAAATATTGCTAAGTCATTTGACTTTCAGTCATCTGACTGATTTGCCTTATGCACCATACTGCCTATCAACAGCACACAAAATAACATCTTATTAAGTCCAGGAAATCCCTTCCACATAGGAGCTTTTAACGTCCGTCAATGTTGCAAACTGGCAGTGCTTGCTGAGACCTTATACTAACTTAAAATTGACGTATGCTGTTTCTCTGAAACAAGCAGTCCGGTTATCCAGCTCAATCCAGCTCAATGTCTCTGTAAAATGCAAAGTGCCGTTACAAGCCTGGGTGGGTGCGAAACCTAGTCTCAAGCTTTCGGATGAGCCGGTTGAGGTTTGTCTACCCGGGCAGTTGTACCACTCGCGGTGGTCTTCCAAAAATGAATAGTTCCATCTGGATAAGGGATTCCTGAACCTCTTTCGGACAACGTCTCAGGCGTGACATCTGCTTATCCGTCAAAGGTCGAGTGCGTTCCATATTACGATACCGGCCAGAAACCTGGCCACCGATGACGCCAAGATACTTTTAGTGTTTGACCATTGATGTTTTCGGAGTGTTTTCTGAGTCTGGTGAGAACACCGGATTAGTAATGCTGAAGAGAGAGAGATAACTCGCCCAAGACATGTGAACTGACCACACTCCTCAGATGGCGCTGGCATGGCCACGTATGCCAGTCGACCGACTTCCTCAACTGGCTCTTTTCGCACATCCACGTGAAGGCTGGGACCGAACCAGTGGAAGTCGAACAGTGACTTCGCAGTGATGTTTGAAAGACATTTTCAGTAAACTCAATTGCGTCATTCATTTCCGTCTTCCTGGATAGGTACCCCGAGTCGGGGCACATCCATAGAATGTAGAGAGATTGTCAGATATGACCCAGTCGAGCCCTCAATGGCGCTTGTGCATCCAAGCTCTTGCCTTCAGTCCATAGCCCACTTCTCAACCTAACAACTTAAAAGTTCACTGGCAACCTTTTAGTTGCGCGTCAGGTGATACTGATGATATCGATGATGTTGTTTTTGATCATGCATGTGTTAAAAATCTAACCCCAATTAAGGATACTGGTCATCCGTTTCATCTATGTCCTTCATTAAGTGATTTATAAGATGGAAAGCCCAATATAGCTATGCAGTTATGGTGCGTACTTACTGATCGGAAGGTCCGTGGTCCGGACTCAACCTCGGCATTTCAACACTCCTGTCTAGGATTGGCAGCCCTACTCTGTTTCACCCCTCGTGCTTCCTTCGGGTGGCATGCCATCTTGGCGCCCGAGGGCTGTAGCAGCTGAACGTTGTTAGCTGAGGAAAAGCATCAATGTAATATGGAAATGCTGAAAGAATACATGATCCATATGTTAAATGCAGTGACTGCAGATAAGAAGTCATCAAACTTAATAAATTTCCTAATAATTTAGAAGCCAGACAATCTGCATATCGTATAGAAAGGAGTAGACGAGGGCACAAAGAACAGTATCATACGAGAGTGATTTAGACCACTTTCAACTGAGGCAGGAAGAGGCCGAAACCACAAGAATAATAAATCTTCCCCCGAGAATGATGGAGGCATTCCTGAAGGTACCTGGAAATTAGATAAGTTCGCTCACGAAANTGATGTAGACCCCTTTCAACTGAGGCGGAAAGAGGCCGAAATCACGAGAATAATGAATGTTGCACCGAAAATGATGGACGCATTCCCGAAGGTATCTGGAACGTAGATAAGTTCGCTCACGAAAATTCTAATTAAAACTGATATCCGGCGCTGTATGGAGCTCAGAAGATCAAAAACCGCGCCAGGAATGATGAAGACGCTAGGAAGTTTTCACTTATTGTGTGCCTAGGTGCTCCATGACGGTTTATAGCCTTATTTATAACTTATCGGGAACACCGTCACAGTCTGAGATTAGCGAGATACAAATTATAAGAAGCCCTTGCGACATTTTTTATGAACTGAAGTTAAGTGATCGGGAATCAATTTCTTCCCAACGGATTTGGTTTCTTCAGTAATATCATGCTTTGATCATGATGTACTCGTTGCCGTTTACGCCAGAGATCACTTCGGTGAGACGAAACTACGGTGTGCTTGAATAGTATACCGTGTGAGCTTAGGGCGATTAAAAAACACCCTGCTGGTCTAACCACTTAGGCCAACAATCTTTAGCACGGTTTGAATACAGTGAACTATCTTCAAACGCTGTCGCATTCACTGAATCAGTATATCGATCTTCGTCTATAGGGATGAATCTAGCTTGAATCTAGTGGTTATGTTTTTGCAGACCGAAAATCAAGGGTGATTTACAGATGGACATGTTTATATTGCGTTTTCCCGGGGGAGGGGGTAATCTTGACATACCATACTGCATATAAGTCTACTGGAAACTTCGACCGCTCACTACCTGTTTTTTTTACTGTACTTGGAGCTTACCGGAAAGTCGCAAATATTTTGTTTTACTACGACATTAAATTTTAGGTGCCTGGTGAAATAGGCTCATTTGCAATGTAACTTGTTATAAACGTGATGCTCAAACCACTTTCCGCTGAGTCTCCCGCTTACAATCTTCTCCAGCTAAATATACAGCATAAAGGATGCACCGCTTTTGGCTGGTAGGATATTCAGGATGTGGATGAGTATTTTCTTAAGATTACGCCATTAACTGTAAGGCGTACCGCTTTTTTGACGTGGCCTAGCGAATCAAACGGGTGAAAAATGACCATAGTACGACGCATCCGAAAGCCCGAAAGGACTAGTAATATCACATAGCAGTCCCCTCTAGACAATGAACTACCGTTCAGCAACTACATAAACGCCAGCAGAATTCGAAGAATCGCCTACCATGTACTGACGATGTTTGCTCGCGAGCCAGTTACAAAGCTTGAGAACAGATTAAGTGCCACATGATCAGCAGCCAACTTCTATACAAACGTTGTTTCGAGCAATAAGTTGTGCAGTCCAAATAAGAGCTCAGCTAATTTACCTTAACACAAGAGGCGGAGAAACCTGAAAGTCCGTGGAATATCCAACGCAAAATACCGTTCCTCCAAGGCAACAGGAGAGCTTTTC